ATTTGTAAAAGGACTACTAGATCATAATGTAAACGCGACAGTAGTAAGGTGGATAGAAAAACTATTATCAGATAGAGTTATTACAACAGAATTTGGCGACACGAGCGCAGAAGGACTGGCTAATAGAGGATGCCCGCAAGGGGGTATTTTATCGCCTATACTTTGGTGTTTAGTGGTAAACAGCCTACTGGAACGTTTGAGAGATAACGGTTTTCAAGTATGGGGCTACGCGGACGATATAGCGATAGCTGTATCAAATGTAGACAGCGGAACGGTGAAGAACGAAATGAACAGAGCACTGAGAATCGTAGAAGATTGGTGCTCAGAAACCAGTCTATCGGTAAATCCCACTAAAACAGAATTAATGGTAATAACGCGAAAAGTCAGGAAACTGAATATAAAAGGTATAAAATTCAACGGAGTACAACTGAAAAAATCAGAGGCAGTAAGATATCTTGGAGTTACCTTTACGAGCTATCTGACATGGAAGAAACAGGTCGACAAAACGATCGATAGAGCACGGAAAAATCTGGCGACGATCAATAGAATGGTAGGCGGAACGTGGGGTTTGACCCCAGCGGCGGCCCATTGGACATATAATGCAATCATCCTACCCAGATTAACATTCGGTTCGATAATCTGGTGGGAAGGCATTCACAATTGTAAAACACAAATGAGACTGGAAAGTTTACAACATGTAGGATTAAAAAGAATGCTCGGAGCATTCAGATACTCGCCGACGAGAGCAATGGAAGCAATGCTTGCAACCCCAACGTTAACAATGAAAATAGAGGAAGTAGCCATTAGAACGGCAAAACTCCTGAAGGATTGGAACAAGTGGCAACCGTCAAACAAGGGCCACTCGACGATAATGGCTGAATTGATACCTGAAACAGAAAAAGATCTATTAATGACAATAGAAACAACGACAGACAAAACAATATTAACTTACAGATTCGGCAGAAAGTTTCGAACAGATATTCCTACGAGAGGCGATTGGAAAAACGGAAGACCATACAGATACAATGGTTGGAACACATGGTTCACTGACGGAAGTAAAGACGACAAAGGAGAAACAGGCTGTGCCTGGGTCTCCGACGAATTAACAAATGGTAAATCTGAATATCTAGGCAGATTTGCCACAGTCTACCAAGCCGAAGTCGTAGCGATCCTGCGATGTGCAGAAGACCTAATTGAAAGAAGCATTAAACATGAACACATAGTTATTTTCACGGATAGTCAAGCGGCAATCAAAACGATGGAGAAATCATGCTATAAATCCACGATAGCATTGGAATGTTTTGACCGATTAAACGAACTGGCAGCGGTAAACAAAAGAGTAGTTTTATGCTGGTGCCCAGGCCATAGAGGAATACCGGGAAACGAAGAAGCAGATAGATTAGCAAAATTGATAGTAGAAGAAAAAAGACCGGGACTGGAACCCTGGTTACCGGTCCCATACGCAGACTTTAAACTTGAATTGAAAAGATTCTCACTCTCCAGATTAAAGGAAAGATGGTCAAACACAACAACGTGTAGACAGGGAAGAGAAATGATAGGCGAAATAAACGTAGGAAAAGCCAGAGAGATTCTGAAAATGAACCGCGAAGAATCGAGAATCCTTACTTACGTATTGACGGGACATGCACCACTAAACTATCACCTGTATAAAATGGGAGTAAAAGAGGACGGAAACTGCACTTGTGGAACGAACGAAATGCAAACAGTAAAACACTTACTTATCGATTGTGACAGATTCGTAAGAAAAAGAAGAGAGACATTTGGTATTCTGGACTTCAAAGAACAGCGAATTGACCAACTACCTTACGGTAAATTAATAAAATTCTTCAAGGAAATCGATCAGTGGGATAAAACAATCAATCTACCAATATAAAACAGAGAGAAGATCACAAACTTCTTGAATATGGAATTAACTAGACCAATGTCACGTATTGATCTACAAGATCCTTTGCAAACACCTAAAAATTACAGAAGCAAAAGAAAACATTGTTCAACCTGACACCAATCAGATTGAAACACAAAAAGACATATTGGAAAAAACGCAAATTGGACCGCAACCTCGAACAGAATTCAATGTATGAGCCTCCAGAACTGGAAGATAAATTACATTTTTTTACGTCATTAAAAATATATGCAATCCTTGTAAAGAAAAGAAATTGAATCCCTAAAATCATAATACAAGAAAAACCAATGTGACATAAAAAATAATGACCAATGATCCGACACCCGGATCGCAAACGAAGAAGTAAGAAACGAGAAACAAAACTAACAAATAAGGAAATGAATAGTAACAAAACACAAATACCAAAAAATAAGCGAACAACGAAATACCCAGAAAGAATATGCAACAATATACCCCAGGCACTATATTCACT